AAGCTCGTTGATGTGATTTAAGATCCTACCTCAAAATACCAGTACCTTTATGATTTTAAGTACGCCTTGTTGAAGAATGCCAACTACCAGAAAACCCAGGTTGAGAGTTTTTCAGAAATAATCTCTAATCACTTTACACCCCAGTTCATTATATTGATATCTAATTGTCATTACTATCCATATATTTACAAAAAAAATTCATAGAACGATAATTTATTAGAATAGGAAAATTTGTTTACCTCTCAGTTAACAATCGAGACCACAGTTAAATGGTCATAAGCATTATTTACTGCTATTCATGATAACACTTTTCAAAGTAACAAATAATCCTACTATGTAAACAGTTGTTGATTTTATGTTGTTTTCTAGCCAAGTAAAATTTCAATTAGCTAAAAAAATTGTTTTTGTTTTTTTGTTTTCAAGGAAAAACTTGAACATTATCAGAATAACTTAAACATTTTCATAGTATGGGACATATTCCAGTGTATCTCTATATAATGCTTTCCTATTTTCATGATTCCGCCTACGATTACCACTCTTTACTTATTTTACTTCAGTTTAATTTATGAATTGTATTTTATAACTTATTCATAATGTTTCATTAGCTGGATTCATTTAGTCGACTTTAAATGGATATACTTGTATCAGAGTTGTTGTTCATGCTGGGGCTCGAACTTAGTACCGTTCGCTTCATACGCTGTCACATTTTCCACTAGCTACTAAGTTTATGAACAGATCTAAGCAAACAGTCCAAAAATGAATTAAAACTTCACGTCATTACACAAGCAAGTGGCAATCAGAACTCAGTAACTAAATAGATAACGCGACTGCGTTTGAAGAGAACGGTAATCGATACGAGTCTCGGAGTGAACATCAACTCAGGAATGCAGGTAAATCCAGTTGACGAGTCACAAATAGGATGAAACGCGTGTTCTGGATTCCAATGCTAACCACTACCCGTAGTGTTTGTTTATAGTGCTTGTAACTTAAGACGTTATCAAGGTAATTCGCTTAAGATGCACATATGCCAATAAGAGACCGATCAATTACAGTCCTAAACATCAATGGGAAGATTGAAACAAACAATACAAAAATGAACTATTTTGTGATTATTTTTAAATCTCTTCTACTCTACATACTAAATTCACGTTTAGATTGTAATTAACATCTTTTTCTTTTTCCTACATGATGTTTGTGCATGTATAACATGAAGAGAGTGGAACTTTGTTGATCATTTTATAATTGCTTTTATTGTTGATCAGTGAGAGATTATCTAACAAATTATCAGCCTAATGATTTACTGTTACAAAGTTTAATAGGTTAGAAGTAAAGGACTGATTTCATGAGCAAACTTCCCATTACTACTCGTATTCTATCTATTCTATAAAAACTTGTGATATAATAGCTATATCGAGGCAATTCGCATAGGATACATATATACCAACTACGATTGTCCAGAATTTAGTCAAAAATATCAACTATGGGATAATTCTGAAACCACTATGAATTGAATGAAGGTGGGAAGAGTTTGTCTAGTTTTCGATAGGTCTTGGAGTTATATTGCAAGAAAATCATACTTTATAGTCGAACATGGCATTTCATTCATATATTATTAACTCTGGATCAAAGGTCACCAATTCATCAAAGAGCGAGCGTATGATCAATAACCAGTAAATTAGTTTTTTGATGACAATCCTAAATCTATTCCTCAGTCCTATTCATTCAATGAATGATTATTCTCAAATATGAACAAGCTATATAATTCATATAAATGTTCCCTTGTTAAAGTACATTATTTGAACTAAATATATTTTCACTTGTTGACCATCAGAAACTAATTACATACACATATTTCCCTTTATTATCTTAAAGAGAGCAAGAATGAAGATTAGTGCAGAGAATTATCGATCATCATGTTCTTCATGAGATCTCTGAGTACTTTCGTGATTCTTTTTTCAGTTGAATCAGTTAAGTCCTTATTACTTTTATCTAAATTGAATCTCAAATGGTCACTTAAAATAAGCTTCATCTTAGAGACATAATCTCTTGTGTTCATTAGAACAACACTTGAACCTTTATCTGACCATTATATCATCACTTTGTTTAATGCTGTTAGATGGTCTTCGGATCTTCGTTCTTGCTCTCTTTAAGAAACTAATTAACCATTCTTCTTTTCACGTTTTCAAACTAATTAACATAACCAATATCATCAGTCAGCTAAGAACACATATAACGGAAACACTTCAACGAAAGATTTTTACGAAAATATATTTGGCTAGTTCAATTGTTAATTAAGTTATCGATGTATCACATATTGCTTGGGGCTATATCAGTTCTTAATTACTTCGGAATAAGCTATGTATGTGAATTATTCAAAGTATTCAAAATCATTGTAACAGAAGTATAATACAAAACTGTTTACAGTATGGGGTTGTGGAGATCATAAAGTTTTTGACTGAGATCATGAATCGAATGTTGTTAGATCATTATTGAAAACCTTGAAGCACTGAACGGCCGTTTCATCTTAATATGAAACTCCTCAGCATTGAACATCCAGTGCTTACAGCTTTTCAATGGTGATCTAACATCAATCAATTCATAATCTCAATCAAAAACAATGCTGTTTACTGGTTTGAACACTAAATTCAAGTTTACTAATGAAATGAAGTAAACAACATTAGATTTATCACTTTTCTCAAAAACATATTCTTTTATTGTCCTAAACAATCGATTATTTTAGCCAACTTTACACACACACACACAAGCCTGAACATACACATACCCTAATTATTAACTCACTTACTTACTTACTTACGCCTGTTACTTCTAATGAAGCATGGGCCGCAGACCAGCATTCTCCAACCCACTCTGTCCTGGGCCTCCTTTTCTAGTTCCATCCAATTCTTGTTCATTTTTCTCATGGCTATCTTCATTTCTCGGCGTAATGTGTTCTTCCGTCTTCCTCTTTTCCTTTGGCCTTGAGGATTCCATATGAGGGCTTGTCTTGTGACGCAGTTGGGTGCTTTCCTCAATGTGTGTCCTATCCACTTCCAGCACTTTTTCCTGATTTTTTCTTCCGCTGTGATTTGATTTGTTCTCTCCCATGGTAGGTTGTTGCTGATAGTGTCTGACCAACGGATCCGAAGTATTTTGCGTAGACGACTGTTAATAAACACCTGTATGTTCTGGATGATGGCTTTCGTAGTTCTCCAAGTTTCCGCCTCATACAGTAGAACTGTCTTGACATTTGAAAATTCTGACCTTGGTGTTGGTTGACAGTTGCTATGAGTTCCAGATGTTGCTCAGTTGTAAATGTGTTGCTCTTGCTTTTCCGATCCGTATTTTCACATCTGCATCATATCCACCATGTTCATCAATGATGCTGCCCATGATTATTAAGTACATAAGATTAATTCTCAAATGATCAATAAATTTTGATGCATAATTCTAATGAAAATAATTAGAAATCAACACTATTATTTACTTGTTAGAGAAGAAGAAGAAAAAAAGAGAAAGAAAAATGGGAAAAAAAAGGAGAAAGAATAATTCAATAGTGACATCAACAATGCTACATTAAAGATTATGATTGAACTATAACAGACAAATAAACAAGCATTGACACTAGATTATACCATGAAAAAAAAGAAAAGAAAATTCGAATCAAAATAAACATGAAATAAGTCGATGAAATTAGCATAAGGATTCTGGAATACCTCTGCCTTATTTATATACAATGCACCTTATAATATAATAGTAATAATAATAATAGTATTGATAATATTTAAAAAAAGATTACAATATTTTCCAGTGAATAAAAAAAATGTTTTATGCCCCTTTCCTCTTGTTGAGATATTTGACAGTAGATGATGAACTAATAAATCAATTTGACAAGTTTGACAGGCTCTGACTGGACAACTAATTTGACTGTTTCATATTTTGTTTACTTGTCTCTATCTTATTTGATAGGGGGCAGAGAATGTGTATATTATTGTATATTGAGAGAAAAATAGTTTTATGTATAATATATATAATATAGTGTATAGAGAAATATTATAAACAGATGAACAGATGAATATTATATACATCTATATATCTATCTTTACTCTTCATTTATTCTGAAATTTACTTCATTAGGGAATTAAGTTCTTAGCCTTGTTTTCTCTAAATATGTATATTTTTTCTTACATTTAATGTAATTTATTAGATAGAAACAACTAGATAGGCATCATCCAATATGATGTATGTATTACATTTAACTAAAGAGAGAGAGAGAGAGAGGGAGATGACAGTATATTAGATAAATAACATAATATGATTGGGAAATATTCACATTTTATCTGAAGTCTGTTGTAAAAAACAGTTTAATCATGAGAAATGTAGTTGAATGTTATGTATTTAAATCTTCTTTTAAATCTTCTGTGAATAGATTGAATTGATTGTAGAGTTATAAATGTGATCAAATAATGACACGGTTGTTGAATGTCCGTCCTCTAGGCTACGGCTAAGTTCAGTTTATATATATATATATATATATATATATATATATATATATATATATATATATATATATATATATATATATATATATATATATATATATATACTTAAAATGGTCACACATTTTCCGTGAGCCATCTACAATAATAAACTATTCAACTATGAGGATTCATTACCTGAGTCTTTGATGCAATCTAGTGACTCATACTTATTTTCTTCATGAAGGAAAAAGAGTGACTGTAAATACAAAACATTATGCTTATTAAGTATAGATCATTATTTACTTAGACAGATTGCATTTTAATTATTACTTGATTGTTTTCAAAGAAATGTTAAGGCTCTTTGTAACACACCTCAAAACAGCTTATTTTTAAATTCCTCTCTAAAAGGTACCATAGATGAGAAAAACTTAGTCGATAGAACCATAGATTATCGTTTGAAATAAGTAAACAAAATGTTTAATAGAATGACAACCGATTGCCAACGTCTTTATTTATACGAAAATGTTTAACTACTTGTGAGTAGTACACATATTATGAGAACATTTTGTTATCTATTCGTAGGTTAGATACGATAGCTAAACTTCTACATTCACATCCATTAACGTTGTCTGGTAATTCACGGAGTTTATATAATCCAATCATTGAAATTTATGCTGAAAACAGTCAATCACCGTCTACTGAAAAGAATGCAGAAACTATGATACCATGGAATAATGTACCAGGATTAAATTATCAGAATGAAAGACAAATTGTTCCGTATGTGAACCGTGAAATTCATTCTGGTTCTAGTAATAATAATGATAATAATAATAATCAAAACCATCCATCAGTTTATGGATGGAGACGACAGATTTTCGATGTAAGTTTGTTGTATTTTCAATTGTCTTTTATGACGTGATATTTTAAATAAAACGGCGAACATTTAGTAAAATATTTATACCCATACACTACGACCAAAGTAAACTTTCGAGGTTAAACTTCTTTCTTTTAATTAACTACTATAAATACCATGAAAAATTTAGTTTATGTGTGAACTGATGTATTTCGAAAGTAAACATATTAAATGTTTCATTTCAAATGATCGGTTTGGATTAGTTTAGAATTTGTCAAATTAAACACTGTTAGTTTGAAATAAGTAGGAAATTAGTTTTCGCTAGAATTTAAATGGGATTTACTTATAAAATATAAATACGGGCCTACAAATTAAAAAAACTTCAAGTGAAGTTGAATCAGTTTGCCTAATTGTTATGAATAACTCCTTGAAACTAGGACATCCAATGGTGATGGATTAATGATCGCGTTGTACAACTTCGTCCTAGAGTCTTAATCAAAACTAATGGATGGTAGTGACTGAGTTGGGAGTCTCAATGTTTATATTAAACTATGCCTTACATGGAATCTTTGTATATTGGGATCATGTACACTAACAATGTATTAAATATTGTTATGAGATAGTAACTCACTGAAGACAGTGGTGGACTTGTCGCTCAATTTTGTTGATTGGTTGAAGTTAGACATTAACAGCGTTGGAAGCCGTTCTGTGTTTTCAGGTATTCCATGGTAATCTAGCTTCAATTCATTCATGATCTCAACCACTAAATTATTAAATATTTGTTAACCTCCAATCAATTTACTGATAAATAGTGAACAGATAAATTGAAAACTACAGCGAAAATCCACACCAGTTCTAGATTTTTGTTGATATGATTTAAGACGTTTTCATATTAATCAAGTTCTTGAATCTAATAAACTAAAGAATACAAATGGATCACTGTAATTATTATGTAATATATGAGCTTGATGTCATTATTAACAAACCAATGTTGATAATATCTTCCTAACAATTTTATAAATCTGCTTTTTTCTCATTTTATCTATAGCCTATCTCACATAATACAGCATGGATAGAACATCATCTCAGACAACGTATACAACGTTACAAACAATGGTTATCACCAAAACAATGGAAACAATTTTTAACAGATGATTCTACAACTATTGGCAGTCGAATGAATGCACCGGCTAAATTTAATCTTGCTTTATTTGAAGCTGCAGTGGTTGGTGTAAGACGTGCAGTAGCTGAATGTCGTTATCAGTTTCGGCATGAAAGATGGAATTGTAGTCAAGTGCTTGATGATGAAACTGCTTTATTTGGAAACATTTTACTGAAAGGTAAGAATATAATTTTTTAATTTGAATTTGATACATACAAGATGTTATATAATTAAGTTACTATTTATGAAACATTTCTATGAATTATAACCTGTATAAACTCATTACTGTTACTGTGAGTCAGTTCTGTGACTGTTTCACCACAGGAAAAAATATTCTCCATCTGTTGTCTCATTAATAAATAACTAAGTAGTCAGTGAGTGATGTTCGATTTTCTTTGATTCTTAATTATTTCACAGGTTTAAATCATGAGTCAATTGAAGCTAGACCACCATGGAAAACTTGGAAGCACTGGACGGCCATTTCGTTCTAGTATGGGACTCCTCAGCAGTAAGCATCCACGATCCCGCACCCCACGGGGCTCGAACGCAGCACCTACTGGTTTTGCGCGCGAGCACTTAACCATTAGACCACTGAGACCGCACCCAGCTGCCCTCCAGTGCTTCCAGGTTTTCCATGGTGGTCCAGCTTCAATTGACTCATGATTTCAACCTGTGAAATTTCTAAAAAATCTCCACAAAACCCATTCTGATCTTAATTATTTCTCAATTTACACCAATTAATGATGAAAACTAAATTCACAATTCATGATATTTTCATTACTGTTATTATCTTAAATGACAAAGAATTTCAATATTTTAAACGTACCTGTTAATGTTTTACCTAGATAAATTGTTATCAGTATTGGGATTTGCAGAGATTGTAGTATTATTATAGTTGAAATTACAAGTTGATCTAAATTAGACCACCATCAAAAACCTGAAAATACTGGACGATTGTTTCATCCTAGTATATGATTCTTCAACAGTTCATATCCACGATCCTGAACGCGAGACTCGAACCTAGGACCTTCGGTTACGCGCGAACGCTTAATCTCTAAACCACTGATTTTGTTAACTTACATGGCCTGATAATACAGTACATTTTTAATACTTTTCTAACAGTACATCTGGTTTATATGCAATTTGTTCAGTAACATCTTAGATATTAAGATTGTTTCCTAGTTTATGGACATAAATATTCCTGTAGCAATAACGTCAATTAGAAACGGATGGTTATTTAAACATATGAATCCTATAAAAATAGGTTGGAGTTGATATTGTTTTCGTTATAGATCACGATGGAGATAATTAAATAAATAGAGAAACGATTTATGATTAAATATTTATTAAAACTTTGGGGAAACTCAGAAAACACAAACTCGTAACAGATGTGTATAGGGATAACGTTCTAAAGGAAATAGCTCTGTGGAATAAGTTAAACTATTTAATGAGGAGTCTAAAAACTGTTAGAATACGACAAAACTTAGAATACTATCGATAAGGTAGTTGAAGATCTTAACGTCAGGAAAATATAAAAGTTGCATGCACATAACAAAGAGAAATTGAACAGTTTAACTGCCATCGACTGGAAGTATTCTGGAATAAATAAGATTGATATATCTATATGTTTGTAAATTAAAGTTATTATTAACTAGACAGACTACTTAGATAGTTTAATACGTAACAGATTATCAGTGAGTAACGGTTCATTGTTTTATAATTTCTAAAATATCGTGGATGCGTACTGCTGAGGAGTCCCATACTAGAACGAAGCGGCCGTCTAGTGCTTCCAGGTTTTCCATGGTGGTCTAGCTTCAATTGACTCATGATTTCAATCAAGAAAACTATCTTTGTTTTATCAGATTGTGAGGGACTATTCCATCTCGGAAACAAAAGAACATTTTATCCGAATAAATTTGAAATCAATCAGTAGGATCTTTAGAAAGTCTCTTAATCGATAAAATTATCATATCAGTAAAAAGTAAGATTTCGCATTTAATCAAGTGAAAATCATATGGGACTGGAAATATATTAGAATTTGGGTTTAAAACAATCAAGCACTTTATTTAACAGTAGACATTTGAAAGTATTCGGCTAAATGTTAATGTCTGTGATTGTAGCATTGGGTGATAAGAGTTTGTTAAAAATCGTTAAGACTATTAGCTAATGAATGCCAACAAACATCAACAATTTACACTTTAGAAATGTTTCTCTATCAAAATCTTGGTTACTTTGACACTTTAGGTTTTTAATCTGAAGGATTCTGATCTACGTTATCTAGCACATCAGCAAATGGATAGTGTCACCACTAAATTAGTCAAACTATAACCAGTTATTAGTATGACTGAATTTATAAACTTAAATTCCTCATTAGACATCAATCAATCGTATTTTATGGTTTTCACCGGTGGTTAAAATCTATTGATCAAATCATGCAGTGTTATAGCATATTTATCTATTAAAATGGAAGGAATCAGGTATAAGTGATGCTGATTAGAATTTCAATCTTTTGGCTTGGTTACGATCGAGTAATGATTGCTTAGAAATCTTATTCATGCATCAATTTTTACTATAAATAGAGGTCAAACGATAGGATAGTCTATCAGTAAAATATGAATGATTTTATATAATGAAATCATACACTTATACAAAGAATATTTTACGATATTGGTTGTTATCCTATTGTGATGATACTTTATTTAGGATGGCATGAATACTGTGATTATCAGAATGAGGTTGAGGAGATTGTTGAGTTCTAATTCATATCATTAATCGATAAATGTTAAGCCACCATTGAAAACCTGGAAGCATTGGATGGCCGTTTCATCCTAGTATGGGACTCCTCAGCGGTGCACATCCACGACCCCACCCGTGGGATTCAAACCCGGGAGCTCCGATCTTGCATGCGAATGGTTAACCCACAGACCATTGAGCTGGCATCTAGTGGTGTTAATGTCTAATTTCAACCAATCCATGAAATCCAGTGACATATCCACCATTGTCTTCTGTGAGTTACTATCCCACAACAGTCCCGGTTGAATTCCACTGGTCACGGCTGCTCACTAGAACTCCAAGAAATAACTATTGAAGCCAGTTACTAGTTATCACATGATGATTATTAACAGAAAAGGCCATCCAGTGCTTCTTGGTTTTCCATGGTGGTTTAGCCTTAATTAACTTGTGAATTCAACTATAAAATTACTACAACCTCCACTAAAGCCCCCTCTGATAATTTATTTCAGCTAGTTTTGTGTTTAGTAAAATTTACAGAAATCTATTTCTTAAATGACTAAAAGAAGTCGTGGTAATTAACTGTAGTTTGGAGTGAATTAATACACATATACAATACAACACTATCATATTTTATCTTAAGGTATACCACAAACTGCATTTATTTATTCAATTATCAATGCTGGAATAGTTCAATCTGTAGCTGAAGCATGTTTAAATCAAATCGACAATTGTCCATGTAATAATCGAGGTAGACAAGAACCATTTTCAGATTGGCAGTGGCAAGGATGTGATCATAATATTCATTATGGTAGAAGATTTTCACGACGTTTACTTGATACAATGGAACGTGGTTCACATATAAGATTTGAAATGAATTTACATAATAATGGTGTCGGTCGACAAGTAAGTTTCAAAATTAAGTTATAAATTGCTGAATTGTCATGTTAGCCGCATATTTTTTCACAATATATATGCAGAATAATAGTATTTATGAGACTAATTTATTATATAGACATTTAGTGTATCACTGGCTAAAGAAATCATTGAACGGAAGCGACACTACTCAATAATGTAAAGATTTAACAAGACACTCTATAAAGTGATTCTGACCGTTTGGTCAGACAACTTAACTAACTAAACAGATCTTAGTAAAGATACTTAATTTGATATTTTAACCTAACATTAATTGTGAATCTTGGATGCGCACTGCTAAGGAGTTCCATACTAGAACGAAATGGCTTTACAGTGCTTCCAGGTTTTCCATGGTGGTCTATCTTTAATTGACTCATGAATTCAACTATTAAATTAATTCTAATGTTTTAAGTTTTCACTGTTGTAATGAATCAGTAATGCATGTATATAACCTCATTATGCTGTGATATTTTTAAAGAGCTATTTCTCTATACCTTCTGTGGAAAGCTAACGAAAACAAGAGTATCCAGATAGATCTATTGAACATTGCATTTGGTGTTGATGCGATTCGGTTTGAATAACAGAGACATGCAAACTATGAAATTTCAAATTTTACCTCTGAAATAACACGGAAATGCGTTAACTTAATGGCACAAAACTATTTTCTTTTATAAATACAAACTCCCCCATCAACAATTCGTAGAATTTTAACCGCATAGAACAAAGATGAATGTTGATCTGGCAGTGGAATCCAGGATGCGTGTTTCGTCCTAGTCGGGACTGGATGTACTTGCATCTCTGAGGTAACGTTCACTTCAAGACTCGTACCCAATGCCGCTCGCTTCAAACGCTACCGAGTTATCCACTTACTTTCCGAGGCCTGATAGCCACTTGCTTGTGTAATGGGATGAAGTTTGAACTCACTTGTTATTGTTTATTTGCATTTTACCATTGATGTTTAAGACTGAAATTGGTCAGCCTCTTATTGGCATATGTTCATACTGTGCATATTTCCTCGATCTTGCCTTAATTCATAAACTCTATAAGCAAAGATAGATGGTGGTTTTAGGCGAACTGTACTGGGTTCCAGTCCCGGATTGAACATCAACTCTGGGATCCAGGTACATCCAGCTGACAAGTCCCAAGTAGGACGAAACGCGCGTCAGACTAGATTCTACTGCTAGTCACCAACTATCATTGCTCATAAAGCTTATGACTTAAGGCAATACGCATATTATGCACATATGCCAACAAGAGACTGGCCAATTTCAGTCCTAAACATCAATGGGAAAATACAAGCAAACAATACTAAGTGAATTTCACATAGAACAAAGTTTGTTAACATTAACTGAATGTTTTTTCGAACAGATAGATTGTGGCTAGTAGTGAAATCCAGGATGTAGGCTTTATCCTCTCTAGAAACAAGTCAGTTAAATATACCTGGATCCCAGGGTTAAACTTTATATTGAGACTAGGTTACGGGATTCATAATTTCAGTACTCACTAAAGTTCAGATAAGAAGTCAGAAATAAAATAAATGATGTTAATAAACTCTATCAGTATCGGGTAGTTTTTCCAATTCATTTTCTTTTATATTTTTGTGTTATTATTATTGAACATTTATCACCTTCCAGTTGTTTAAATATATCTAAATACTTACACAGTTTTAACTTAAACTTAGTTTTGTTTTATCTTTAGTTAGTTATTAAAAATATGGAACGTTATTGTCGATGCCATGGAACAAGTGGATCGTGTACCTTAAGAACCTGTTATCGAAGAACACCACGAATGAGAACACTTGGAACTTTGTTAAAACATATATATGATCATGATTTAGTACAAGTTAAACTAGGTGAGATATAATAGGCACTTATTGTTTATGTAAATTAGCATTTAATACTTTATGAATAGGAAACTAGTTATTGTTTCTCAAAAGGAAATCTAACTAATAAAAAGATCTGAATAAATAATCTAAGCATCATCAGACTAACTCTCTGACCTAAATAATGACCAATCTTCCATATTACTACAACTACAGACATCATATCTGATTGTTATAAACATCCAAGACAAGTTTATGTTTCTATTTGTTTAATTTTCAAAGTATTTCAACACCACCTGGAGCCCCTATGGGGCTACTGCCGGTCGTAAGCCCGGATAAAGAAGGAGGGTTGGGCATGGAGTTAGCGACCCCAACTAAACTAACTCGTTAAAAAACGCTAACCAGAAAAAATTATTTCAACACTACAAGATACCTATTCATCTATGGTAATTGAATGAGATGGAAGAAAATTAGAGAAAATTTAGCAAATTGTATAATAGTACTCGTAAGGAGTTTTCGCTCACAATAGTTTGCAATAAAACACAAAAATTATTGCTTTATTTAACGAATTTATGTATCATTCATTTTTCAAAAATCTCTATCAGAGAGTGTAACATGTTGCTATGGTGATAGTTTGTTGGCGCAAAATAATTGTCAACTTCATGAATGTGGATGATAAAATATTTCAACGTTTTGATCATGGTTTACCAGTAATTAAGGAAAATTTTGAAAAAAACGTAGTACGGATGATAGATTAAGAATGGAATATAGAATGAGGGGGGGAAGCTATGATAGAATATGAGTGATTGAACCTGTTATCTTTGTACACACAGATGGGGTTTGAATTAATGAATTTCTAAAGCTTTTTCTGTACATAGGTTTTTAATTTGTATTGTCTTACAGCCAAATTATTTGGTTGTCATGGATGACTTTGAAAGCGGTTTCTTATGGAGCTATGTGAATATAATTTACGAGATGTTTCAGTATTGAACTGCTAACTAACTTCATGAATTCTTTTGACATCCGGGCAGGACGATGTTTGGAAAAAACTTTTTATGCACAGTTGTCCTTAATTCTATATTACTGACACAACAGGTGCACTAATTGACAATGAATAAAATTGTTAGTGATAGGAATACTTTGGATAATTAAGCTTAATTAGATTATCGTCAAGTTCCCAACACTTATCGTTATATGTTTATTCGGAATTCAAACAATCATAATTAACATTTTGATGCGAATATTTCGGCTAATGAGACATCACAGTTTTTATGAAGCGATTATGGAAGTCCACTTAAATTGTAGATGGTATTCGTCACGAACCACCATTGAGAAGTATAGGATATTAGATATTAGTTTTGTCTTAGTCGGGAACTATTTAGGAATGCACATTTACGATGTCTTCAGGAGGCAGAGCTCATGACTTCTACGTATAACGGCGAGTACTTAAACATTAGAGCATTTTGTGTTTGTAATGCTCCGGTTTGAAAAAATTGAAAGAAGAAATTTTCTATAGTTCATTCAGTACATGAGAACATGTTAACAGAGATGGAAGATTTGTCATTATAGGTTTTGGAGACAGTCCTATAATCTTCAGTCCAAAGCAATCCGGTCTATCCATAGATAAATACCTTTGGTTATTAAAATGTATATATAACAACTAGAAGTTGTCCACAGTAGTTGTAGCAAAGTAATCTACTGTTTAAACTATTTATTAATATTATAAACAAATAAAAATAATATATTTGTAATATCACAATAAGTAGAATAATTATATTTTTAAATTTTCCGACGTTTCGTGATTCAGTGTAAGCCACTTCTTCAAAGAACAAATTACTTACTTACTTACGCTTGTTACTCCTCGTGAATTAGCATAGACCGCTCACCAGCATTCTCCATCCAACCCTGTCCTGGGCAATCCTTTCTAGCTCCGTCCAATTGTAATTCATCGTTTTCATATCTGCTTCTATTATCCGACCCAATATGTTCTTTGGCCTTCCTGTTTTTCGCTTCCCTTCAGGATTCCAAGTTAGGGCTTGCCTCGTGATGCAGTTTGACGATTTGCGTAATGTATCCTATCCTATCCATTTCCATCATCTTTTCCTAATTTCTTCTTCAGCTGGAAGCTGATTTGTTCTCTTCCACAGAAGGCTATTGCTGATAGTATCCGACCAATGGATGTTGAGTATCTTGCGAAGACAGCTATTTATAAATACTTGTACCTTTTTGATGGTGGTCGTTGTAGTTCTCTAAGTTTCAGCTCCATACAGTAGAACTGCCTTGACGTTCGTATTGAAGATTCTCACTTTGATATTGGTTGAAAGTTGTTTTGAGTTCCATATGTTCTTTAACTGTTGGAATGCAGTCGTTGCTTTGCCAATCCTTGCCTTAACGTCTGCATCCGAACCTCCTTGTTCATCGATGATGCTTCCTAGATATGTGAAGGATTCTACATCTTCCAGAGTTTCACCATCAAGAGTGATTGGATTGTTGTTTTCCGCTTTGAATTTGAAGACCTTGGTTTTCCCTTTGTGTATGCTGAGGCCTACTGATGCAGAGACTGCTGCTACACTGGCTGTCTTCATCTGCATCTGTTCGTTTGTATGCGATAAGAGGGCTAGGTCATCTGCGAAGTCCAAATCGTCTAATTGATTCTGAGCTGTCCATTGAATTCCGTGTTTTCCTTCGGATGTCGAGGTCTTCATAATCCAGTCGACCACCAGAAGAAAGAGGAAAGGAGAGAGTTAACAGCCTTGTCTGACTCCGGTCCTTACTTGGAATGCATCTGTCAGCTGTCCTCCATGCACGACTTTGCACTGTAGTCCGTCGTATGAGTTTCGGATAATGTTGACAATCTTCTCAAGAACTCCGTAGTGTCGAAGAAGTTTCCATAATGTCCTCCTATCTACACTGTCGAATGCTTTTTCATAATCAATGAAGTTGATGTATAGTGATGAGTTTCACTCAACTGATTGTTCGACGATGATCCGTAGTGTCGCAATTTGGTCTGTGAACGACCGACCCTTACGGAATCCGGCTTGTTGATCTCGAAGTTGGGCGTCTACTGCATCTTTCATCCGGTTCAGCAACACTCTGTTGAAGACCTTCCCTAGTATTGACAGCAGTGTAATGCTTCTATAGTTTTCACATTTGCTCAGATCTCCTTTCTTTTGAATCTTGACGAGGTGCCTTTCTTTCCAGTCCGTCGGCACTTGTTCCTCCTCCCAAATCTTGTTGAATAGAAGGTAAAGCATGTTTGTAGTTGCTTCGATGTCTGACTTCAGTGCTTCAGCTGGTATGTTGTCCAGACCCGCTGCTTTCCCGTTCTTGATTTGTCTGACAAAGAACAAATAAACATGTTAAATTAATGGTTGAATTCATGGTTGATTTAGGCTAGACCACACTGGAAAACCTGGAAGCACTGAACGGCTGTTATAGTGGTCTAGCCTAAATTGACTCATGAATTCAGCCATTAAATTAGTACAATTTCCGCAAATCCTCATTCTGACAAAAATTAAATTAATTCAAGTTTAAATTGTACAAGTTAACGAGCAAGAATATTTGGTGAGATCAACGAAGAAACAGGTCTGACCAAGTCAATGCCATGTCATTCAGGTGATTTTTAAGGTGATTTATGTAAGACATGTTTGTATATTTGTGTGTGTTTGTGTATGGATATATGTATGTATGTATGTTAAAGGATGAAACGTGTATCATTTGTGGTGCGAAGGGATAAAGATGAAATTTTGTGTTTGGTGATGGTGTGAGATGTGAATAGAATCGAACATAATAGCTCGGATGGATGGATGTTTGAAGTGGGATGGATAGTGAGGTATTTTTTTTCTATTGAGGGTAGTGGGATCAAGCAATAAATGGAACGCTGCAGCTACTCACCTTTTTCTGTAGTTGGAAAATCCTCTCTGTATTATTTTGATGTTTTTAATATCTACTTGTTTGTTATTAAAAACGACAAGGACTGTTATCGCCGAGTTAATTTTGTGTACTTAAAGTGCATTTCGGTTCGAGTCAATATTTCACGAGATGACTGTTCAATATAGAATGCATCTGAACGGACACATCCTAATTTGTAGACACAATTCTATGTTGGCATAAGTGGGATTTTTTTCCCTTAAGGAACTAAAATGTTTCGAAGGGATTTCGTTGTTTTGTAATCTACTTTAATCATCTGTTGTTTTAAGACTCCTTGAAGTTCATCTGTCATACTATGGCGGTATAGTAAGACTATAGTACCAATCCATGATATTTCATACGGATTATCACTTATCAGTAAAATGTCTCATTTTCTTACAACTTTAGTGATCATCATAGGAAAATTTTTAAATTGTAAGATATTAATCATGTGCTTTCATTTTTTATGTTTATCCTCTTCAGATGTAATAAACTTGTTTGCTCTTTGAAATAGATTTAGGGCTAGTGAGATTTTTGTACTAAATGAATGTGTTGAATTGAAGTCGATATGACAATTTGAGTGAGTTAGTTTTCGGTAGATAGTCAGATTTAGAACTCCATCTAAATTTCTTTAAGCAAAGCTGCCTAAAAAATGGTAGTTCGCCGTCCTCATTTTCATTCTCGTATGTAAATTTAATGTGACATGAAAGTGTTTTGATTACTTCAGAAAAAGAAGTTAGGTGAATCCTTTTTTCACGACTACAAGAGTACCATCTACATATCTGAACCAAATTCGTGGTTTAATGTTTGATTATATATGTGACATAATCAGGTTGGCTACAATCGGGTATACAGGGACTCTCATTGCTTTTATAATGTCCCGTTTGAAGTAAATACGGTTAAAGTTAAGCACAGTCTTAGGGATTTCATGATAAGACTGATGTTGTTGTAAACATAGTTCACACCTTATGTATGTAATTCTATGTTATAGTCTGTGAACTATTTCATTTGAACAAAGTGACTTTACAACAATATAATAGTATAGTATTGTTAAACAATCTGTTCTGAAAGCACTACTGTTGTGAACGATAACACCAGTAGGGACAATAGAATGTACTTGTCACGAAATTACAGAATATCTCAATAAAATCTGAGAACCATATAATAAGTCGTTAATTTGCAAAATATCAATCCATCATATCAAACTTGACTGTTCCTGTTGCAAACACCAATCTATTGTTTCAGATTTTATAGTTCATGCATTTTCATACCAATTGCGTTCCGTTTCCATTCTTTCTTCATTGACGTTCTACTGAAATACATTCTATACCTGACCATCATTATATACTACTTGTGTGGGTATAAGTAACCCACCCAACACTACTACTAAATGCAATAGCAAGAAAAGTAGAAGATCAGTAAACTTCCATATATCTTATATTTGTATTCAATCTAACTATCTATTATAACAACTTCTTACAAAATTCTACTTTTAGATTCCAATAGTCTGCGATCGACCCGTAGTATTCACGAAGATAAACAAGAGACATCTTCTTCTACATCAAATCATTTGAAACATTCATATTTAGACAAAGCTATCAAATTTATACCTTATCAAAAAAACATGAAAAAACAATTAACCCCAATATTATCATCTATATCCAATGACTATTATGATAGGAATGCCAATAATGTAAAGAAAACTCAAAAAAAATCCAATTTGATTATTATAAACCCCACAACAACAACAACAACTATTCATTCATCCATGTTAATTAAATCAAATGAACTAATGAATCATTCAATACATCCACATTTATCCCAATTAGTTTATTATGAATTAATCAATGAGAAATTGTTTTGTCATTCAAATTCATTTTATCATATATTAGGTACAAAAGGTCGTTTATGTAATTCATCTTCAATTTATATGAATAATTGTCATCATTTATGTTGTGGCCGGGGTTATATAACACATCATTATTATATCATGGAATCATGTCATTGTAAATTTATATGGTGTTGTCGTGTTGAATGTCAACAATGTTTAGTATTAAAAAAAGTAGAAACTTGTATTTAATATAATTCATTATACTACTTATAATGATTTTCTACATTTATTGTAGATTCAGAATTTAAGTAGTATACAATAATTTAGATTATATCATAAATTTAAAAGAATTAAATATGAATTCATTAAATTTAATTTCTACCTCGAAAATATAATTCACATTATTCAATTATCAATATTTGTAGGTCATTTTGATAAATTGTTTCTTTTTTGTTTTAATTTGTTTGCTCTATTCAGTATATACACATATCTTCATTGTTATTATGATTACTCTAGTTTATTATTAATGTATTTGGCTTGTGTATGCGGTAAATCAATAATCGTCATTATTCATAACTGATCACTTTCAATGAGAATCATATACATATATATATTTCATTGTTTTTTTCTCTGTTTTGTATTAAGCACCATGATTTATTTGTCATGCACAGTATTAACTAAGAACTTTTCTTCTTTTTTTAATATTAAATAAATAATCGGCACATATATACACATATTTATCATGGTGTCTTTTGTTTTGGTTTCTTTTTTAATTTGAATTATGCAATAAGTTTATCTGATATACGTTGAGTCGGCTTTCCGAGAATTGCAATGAAGCCTCCAAAGGCCCTAAAGGAGCCGAAGAGTTTTAGCCAATCAGAGTATGATGGAGGTTTCTAGAATATCAACGTGGCATGCTACTATCGATCAGTAGCATAAAATGTATTTTAGCGGATTGGTCAAAATATGATGTTGATTTAACGAATATTAACATCTATAAATATCTGTGTTTTTCTGTACAAAAATGAACTTTTGGAGTAAAGTGTTTTTTCGCTTATTTTGCGCCTTTCTCTCCAGTCAAGATGGCTGCGTACTTTTAGCTTGCGAGTTACTAGAATAGCTTAGGAACCGAATAAAGTGCTCAGATTAGCAAGACTTATCAATATATAGATAGATCACCATTGAAAGTTTGAAAGTAGTGAATGGTTGTTTCGTCTTATTATGGGACTTCTCAGAAATCTACATATCTGAGGAGAAGAGGTTTGTTTGATTTTTATTAATAGCGAAATAATTTTAACCATAAACTGAAATTATCTGGAAAATTTAATTTATATCAGAGAATAGTGTATATAATGCTTATAATGCTTGTGAATGAAGGCAATATCAAGGTAATATGCACAGGATGCACATATGCCAATAAGAGACTGATTGATTGCAGTCCTAAACATCAATAGGAATATTCAAGTAAAACAATACTAAGTGAATTCAAACTTTACTCCATTACACAAGCTAGTGGCTATCAGGGCTCAGAAATTAAGTGGTTAACGCGATGGCGTTTGAAGCAAGCGGTATTGGGTATTAGTCCCAGAGTGAACACCAACTCAGAGATGCAGGTACATCCAGCTGATGAGTCCCAAATGGGACGGAACGGGAGTCCTAGATTCTACTGCTAGCCACTATTTCTCTTTGCTAGTATGATTGTTTAGTTTTAGTTTATGATGAGCATCTACTAGTGCAAACTGGACCTATATGACTAAATATACACGTAAAATGTCACTATTAATTGTTATCAGTAGTCATTAAAGATAAATAGTTATTTTTGTAAAATTGACATATTACAAAAACATCATCAATAAATAATCATAGTGACGGTGGCAATTCAGTTGATGCCTTTCTAGGCAATCAATGTTTATTCTCATCCTCACAGTTCAATAGCGAATCTGTTAGTATCACTATTATATTAGTAACCATTGTCCAGCAAATTGTAATCATATTCAAGTGATTTTGACACACCTTTTAACTAAAGTTAATCTTTAAAGATGATTAAGACAATCTTTATACAGGCAGTGTACATTTTGTGTTATAATGTTACTTTTCGACATTTCACTACCTTTTCACCAACCGACTAGCTTTGGGCACTGGCCAAATGATCCTGAAGTGATTAAATAATAAGTTGTTAATTTAGTTACTTCACACTTTATACACTTCACTAAAAGTTATAATTCCTTCTAAATGTTATTGAATTTTTTTATTTTTGAAATCCCGTTTATGTTTTGCATCCCAACTGCTGCGTACAAAGCTTTATTTTATGCCATTAGTGTTGTTCTGAAGAATATATTACGTTAAAGAGCATACTCATCTACGTTTATTTGATTAGTGGCAGATATCCTGTAAGACTGAGTCATTTACATTAACAATTTTCTGATTAGTAGTCATTGTCATGTTAGTTTAGTCTTTAGCGCAAACCTAACATCAATACATAAGATCGAGTCACTTAAACTAATAACCAAATTGCAGCTTGGTCAGTAGAATTAGACTAACACTGAGGACTAAACAAATTGGCATTGGTTACACCACAGTGATCAGTATGCTTATTTAGAATGATTATTTAAAAAAAAACAATCATAATTTAAGATTATTGTTTGCCAATTGAACTTTGATAGATTACAGACATTTGGGAATTTCATTTCTCCATTTCTAATTCGTTGGGAATCATGTTACTTGATGTATTTTAAGTTTTGTTACCATCATTGGGTTGAGAAAAGATTAATCACTTTAAATAATCATATTATAGTGTTTTATTAATTAATCAAATGTTTCGAAACAGATAAAATACAGTCACAAGTTGGTTTACATAGCAAATTAGTGCTTTGTACATGTACGAGTTTCAATCCAATGGTAAAATACATTTCAACTTCATCTGATTAGTTTAATCCTAAGTCGTCCCCAAAAATAATTTAATTACCTTGTATTTTCGACCTGAATGAGGATTGTAAGGTATCTGAATATTTTGGGATTCATCTTAGTTTATATTAATATATCACAACGTATAATATAGCACCTTCTCATTCAGCTTTTATTCAACAACTCTTTCATTTATTACAATGATACAGTAGTTACTGACAAATAATATACTGATAGTCAATCATTTCGGTCATCAAATAAATTTAATATGAACAGAGAAACAAAAAACCTTGACAAACTACGGAAGCTATTTTTCAGAATGTTATTTCATTTAATATAAAGCTTGTAAAACAGTAACATTTATTTTTATCCATGATCTATTCTACAGACCGTAAGCTTTCGTTTGATGTATTATTCACTGCCATAGACTTTTCTGTTCCAAAGCTATTATGATTTAAATGTAATATTTTGTACTCTACATTCTAGACTAAACATCGGCTTTGTATAACTGTATTTTCCTAGTTGTTTGTGCGTTGTGGTTTTGTTAGTCATCTATTTATTCATGTATCTTTTTACACAAGTCTGAAATTGGGAACCAGATCGGAGTGGGGAATATATCGTTTAAGTGCTCCAGTTGATGTGTCTTCCCTCACTCGCGTGCCTATCAGCTAGTCAGGTGATAGAATAGTTTTCGTCTCTCTACCCCAAGCAGTTAGTCTCACTTCAAACTCAAGCATACTAGCCTAAAGGTTAAGCCAGTCAGCCTATCACGTAAGGTCTTAATCTAGATGAAACAAGTCATCCTCTCCACAAAGTGGGTAGACAGATCAAGACGTAACAAAATTTATGAAGATAATTATTGTTGTAGGCAAATATAAGGCCTTTAATAATTGTTTCCAACTCGATTAGGATCCCGTCGAAAATTTATTTGGATGTTTAATTGTAGATTTCTTATAAAAGTGACATCTAATAGTGGTAAGGAAGTTGATTATGTTGTAACAAGATCCAAATCTCAAAAAATACCAAAGAGCATAATAATATTTCCAGAATGGGTTTTGTGGAGATTTTAGAAATTTCACTGGTTGGAATCATGAGTCAATTGAAGCTAGACCACCCGTGGGGGGCGAGATCGTGGATGCGCATTGCTGAGAAGTCCCATACTAGGACGAAACGGTCGTTCAGTGCTTCCAGATTTTCCATGGTGGTCTAGCTTTAATTGACTCATGATTCCAACCAGTGAAATAATATTTTCGTTTATTTATTAATACACATCTCGGTAAAAATCATTTTTAGTTATTTTTCTACGTTTGATAGTGACGTCATTGGTTATTTATTTTGTAAAACTAAGTGGTTAATTAATCAGTTTGATATCATGCAGATCTCACTTATTTATTAAGACCTCAAATTTATGTATTTTTGAATTTGGATATCAAAAATATAAAAAAGGGACTCGGCTAGCTTTTCTCGGATTCTGACTAACGGTTTTAGAATAGATAATTAGCCGGGCTTAAAGTCATAACAGTAGGACAATGTTGTGGACTTTTGAGTGAAGTCATGAGTGCGTTCTAGGATTTAAAAATTAATTTAAGGGTGATTCGATCGAGTTGTACTCGTAGATAGTGAACTACACATTTTTGGGTCTATCCACACTGTTAGCTGGTGTCCAAGTAGTCTGTGGCTACCAGTATTAGATAGAACTATGCGAAGACAATCATTAGCGAGTTTCTGTGGAGAAATTAAGTTGATTGTAACCCATAAGGTTTATTGTGCATCATAAGTCATTTTGGCAGCTTAAGTTTTAGCCTATTGACCACCGTTTATTAATCTATTTTTGTTAGGTCCATTACGTTTCTTATGAACCTTCATTTCTAGGCATGTTTGAGGTATATGAGAGTCTAGGGTGTCATTGATAACGACCTAAAACAAGAGTAAACCTTAAATAGTACCTTAAGTTGAGGACGTCCAGTTTTCTAAGTGAGATGTTCAAAGACGTTTCACACGTCAACTACTAGGATGTAACTCGAATCTCGATTACACAGACAGATGTAAGCATCTATCTTTAGAACCTTTATGGCACCGTAGGCTAAAAAACAATTTAATATTTCTCTACAAAGCGATATATGGGCTCTCCTTTCTAACCTCCTGCCCGACTATTACCCACGACCCATCCTATAGACTTAGAAACAACGCATATACACTACTTACCGTAAAACACCAAAAACAAATGCGTTGTAAGTTCTTTACAGTACGGTACAGTTTATTGTGGAACAGGCTGCCAATGCCTATCCGTAATTGTGATACGTTTATCAGATTCAAAAGGCTAATAACCCTATTTCTAGACTCCA